TTGGAATGGGAGCAGGAAAGAGGTGGAGCAGGGGCGGGGCCCCATGGAAAGGGTGGAGAGGGGGCGGGGCAGGGGGCAGCAAGGGGTGGGTGTCAGTGATGCAGCCCTCGGGCCAATGCACTAGTCCTCATGCGGCCCTCGTGGTCATTTGAGTTTGAGACCCCTGATCTAGACCATCCCTGACAGGCGTTTGTCTAACCTGCTCTTAAAAATTTACGATGACAGAGATTCCACAACTTCCCCAGGCAATTTATTCCATAACCAGCCCCTCCCAATCATCCTGATCCCAGCACAGGGAATCTAACCCTTGTTGCCTGCACATACCACTTAAATGGGTGATACAGTGAAAAACAAAATGATATATGAATTAAAACGAAGACATCCATGCTCATGCCATGTGCTTCCCTGTTCAATGACTCGGATGTCCTGAAAGTACCTGCACAATCCAATGAAACTAGAACCCAATCACATATTATGGTAGTTTTTTCCAACAGCAGCTTGAACAAGTTGAAGCGCACCCCATGATACCGTAGCTGCACCTGCTTCCTCCCAACTTAATCTTTCAACTGCAGGACTGAGGGATCATGATCCACACCTGGCCAAATTCAGCGTGAAGGTTATACTTTTTCAATAGGGCCCTGAAGCCAGGATACCAGATCTGTAGCACTTGCTTAGATTATGTTTTTCAATTAGATCGGAATTTCTATTATTAATTTTCCACTGTTCACCAGTAGTTCTACACCAAACTAAGCTCTGTGAATTAGAGTTTAGAAATTAATGGAGATATCCCATCTCCTAGAACTGGAAGGGACCTTGAAAGGTCATCGAGTCCAGCCCCCTGCCTTCATTAGCAGGACCAAGTACTGATTTTGCCCCAGTTCCCCAGGAGGCCCCCTCAAGGATTGAACTCACAACCCTGGGTTTAGCAGGCCAATGCTCAAACCACTGAGCTATCCCTCCCCCCATTTAATCTGTGAATTAATCAGCACCGGTTGCCCAACACTCACCCTTCATCACAAAGGATGTTTACTCTTGCACCATACTGGTAATTTGTTATATCAACAGCTCTGCCATGCTCTGGTCCTTTTGGAACACCACACGATTTCCCTAGCACAGAACAAGATCAGTGTTAGCGTGTTATGTTGATGCAACAAACTCTAACAGACTTAGAAGAGACTATGGCTGGGGTGGCCAAACTGTGGCTCGCGAGCCGCATGTGGCTCTTTTACAGTGAAAGTGCAGCTCACGGAGCCTAGGGTTACCATTCGTCCGGATTTACCCGGACATGTCCTCCTTTTTGTGCTAAAAATAGCGTCCGGGGGGAATTTGTAAATCACTCAAAATGTCCGGGATTTACCCCCTCCCCGGCAGAGCAGAGCGAGCGGCTGGGAGGGCTGCAGGAAAGTCACGGGCTGGACTCCGGAGCAGCTGTAGAGGAGCTCCTCCTCCTACCCCCTCCCTCTCTGCATTCTGAGCCGGCAGCTCCTCCTCCCCGGCAGCCCCGCGCCCCGTTCCAGCAGCACTGTGCAGGGCC